CATCATAATTCAGATGTCTTGCATATTGATAGCTCTCAATTTTGATACACAAAATAATATTATAATTTGATCTGATGGAAATACCATACATATATATATAGTGGAGCTAGTCTCGAAAATAGTATTTAGTCTACAGCATTTATTATTATTTATAAATTATACAAATTGTTTAAAAAGTTCTTGCAATTTAAAATGTACTTCTGAAGTGCTGCTAAAAACTTCTTAATAAATATGCTATTTCACAGTTGAGTGGCTAGCAATGTATCTGCAACTTGCAACACAAAAACATAACTAGCCTGCAATAATGCGGACCCCATTGCGCAGTGTTTTGGCATATTGAAAAGTTTGTTTAATTATGTTGCAACACGCAGTCTGCTCGCATACAAGTACAGCTGAATATGTGAATATTTTAATAAATATTTTAGTGCGGGAGCTTGCCAGAAACAATTTTGAACAAATTTCATATGTATATGAGCAAAAGTTGAAAACAAGCGCACAAAAATGTCAGAGTACATATTAAAATATAACATGTTGGGAACATGGGGCGTATGCGCAACATTTGCAATAGCTCTGGATTGGAGCCCGGAGCTCGAAGCTTGTAGTGGCAGCTACACGGCCACTTTGTTGGCTTCTAGAGCATCAGCTTGACAGACAGACAGGCAGACAGACAGGCGGACATACAGACAGCCGGACATACAGACAGCCGGACAGCGGGACAGCCGGACAGAAAAATAGGAGAACAGATGAACAGCAGCGCTGGCAGTCAAATTGGGCAGCAGGAACAGGAGCTGGTATCTGTGCGGAATGAAGATAAACCAAATGACTGCCAGTTGGTGTTGCACTTGTTTTCGCCCCGTTGTCTTGCACAGCTCAAAGTCAGTTGATTTACGCACAGGTAGCACGGGCAACAGAAACAACAGTCATCTTCCTCTGCACAGCTCGGCTCGGCTTGGCTCAGCCCAGCTCAGTTCTGTTCTGTTCACCCTCGCCACGTCATGGCTGAGTTCCCCTATAGTATTTGGTCTATGTTGCACATGCAACGCTTACAAGTTTACGTGTATGTATTTATGTGTGTGTGTAGCCTACTTTATACACCAAATGCAGCTCAGAGTCACCTATATTCGCTGCTGTTGCTGTTGCTGTTGCCATTTTCATTTTTATTTTTATTTCTTTTTTTTTATTTGCCCTTCTGCATTTATTTGAAATGACGCATTGTTTGCAAGCACATTATATAGAAATATATATACACATTATTTATATATACACATAGCATGTATATAACATGTACATCTGTGTGCTGCGTGTTTAATTCGCAGCAAAAATTTGCAAAATGTTGCAAACTGTGCGGCAGCAACAGCAATACAAACACACAAACACACATACAAATTGAAGTGAATTGCGCGCATTGTTCATGGTCTCTTTTTTTGTAAGCCTTACACACACACACACACACACACACAAATGGTTATATATATTTTATTTGTATAGCTGGAACATAAGCGAGCCTCAAAACCAGCGCCAAATTTGCAGACCTTCAAACCGTTCTCTTAGGCTTATCAGCTGTTAGATAAGATATAGAACTTTGAACAGTTACTCGATTATTACTATTATTATATAAACAAGGCGGAAATTGAGGATTAAGCTAGAGCGAGGATGAGAGGGAGAGAGAAGCATTTCCGATTTGAATAACAAAAAGAATCAAACAAAATGTTGACCGTTGCCAAGAAACATGAAATCGCCTTGATTTATCAGCGCTGGGGCAGCAGCTACAACAGCAGAGCCGGCGGCAAGAGGAAGTGCTAATTGTGCACATGTTGCAGGCAACATACACTCTTGCAGACACTCTCACACACACTGGGGCAGCAAACACATTCGCATTGGCCTAATTTTGGAAATCGGGATCTTTATCGCCGCGGCGCAATACTCGTAACTCGTAACCCGCAACTCGTAACTTACAACGCACAACGCGCAACTTGTAGCGTTGCAGCTCCTCTCCGTCTCCGTCTCCGTCTCCGTCTCTCTCCCGCTCTCTGCCCCCTGCCGCACCACCTGCCTGACGAACAATGTAAATATATGAGTCGCAATTGCTGCAGGATGGGCTGGCCAAAGTGGAAACGCGAAACGAAGTCGCATAAAACGGAAAGTGCAGCAAATTGTGGCAGCTGCAACATCAATTTTTTTCCTTCTTTTTTCTTTATATTACTCTTTCGGTTACCTTGCACTGTGCATTCGCTGATCTTAACACTGTGGCAGGTTCGGCTGGCCATTGGCCTTTTACCGTTGCCGCTAATGCGTAGAGTCGACTCTGCCTCTCAAATTTGCAACACGGAAATTGCCAGCGACAGCATAATCAGTCCTTAATTGTTATTTGTCTGACAGCTATAAAATTTTCTTAAAGGCCCTCAAGCAAACTGTCAAACTGTACCTAAAAAAGAAACCAAATATGAAAAAACTATTCAAAAGATATTTAGATATTTTAATAATATTTTTAAAAGTCGAAAACAATCGTCTACTTTATAAAAATATTATTCACAAGAATTCGCTAAGCGCAAAATGCTTTTCAACTTGTGAATTTTCCCAGCAAATATTGCTTACATCTAGTCAGAGTAGACCTTAAAATTTGTATATACTTCAACACCTCAAAAGGCAAAAAAAAAATGATATAAAAAAATAAAAAAAAATAACTTGCGCACACACACAGCCCATTGAACTTTGTGAAGCGCAACGAAATGTTGGCAGGTTTGTAAGAAAAAAGAAGATGCAAAAAGCAAAAAGCAAAAAGTCAAAAGGCAAAAGGCAACGGCAAAGGACGTGCAAAAAAATGTACACCTGTGCCGTTTTTTATGAGAACAAAATACAAAACACAAAAGAGACAAATACAACAACGGCAAAAAAAAAAACAAAGCGAGTAACTGCGAAAAAAATGGCGAAAAAAGCAAGAAAATTACAACAGCGACAGCAAACAGAAAAACGCAGCAAGTGTATTTGTGTGTCTGAGTTTGCGACTGTGTGTGTGTGTGTGTGTGTGTGGGTATGTGTGTGTGCTGCTCTTACAAAGCCAAAGCATAACTTACAAGCAGCAGCAGCAGCAGCCACAACAACAACAGCAACAACAACAAGCAACGGCAATAAAAAGTCAGAAGTGAGTGTCCTTTACATTTTTTGTTGTTGTTTGTTGTTTGTTGTTGCTGCTGCTGCTGCTGGTGCTGCTGGTGCTGCTGTTACTCGCTGCTTCCTGTCAGCGCGGACTTGGTCTTGGCCAACGCTGCTCATTATATAGTCAAAGACCATAATTATGTGTTGAAGTTTGTAGATATTTTAAGTGAGTGAGCGCCAAAGCAGCAAAGAAAGGCAGCAGCATAACGATAATGGTAGCAAAACAGGCAAAGAAGCGGGCAAAAGTGGAAACCAAATAAAGTTCCTTCCAAAGTCATTTAACTTGGCCAGCAATCGGTCTGAGCTAGGATAAAACAAAGCATTCCTCTAGGAATCGTTTTTACAATATCTTTTTCGTGTCCTTTGTGCAAAGAAATTTTATTCAGAGTTTAGCAATTGGCAGCAACATTAACAGTAAGTGTTAAATGTTTAAGACTGTTTGGTTATATCCATTATATAGTCAGCACCGTCAATACTGGCATCAACATTTATAGTCAGTGTTAGCTGTTGTAGACAATTTTCTTATTTGTATTTATATAGTCAATACCTTCATTGAAATATAATAAATAAATCTATTTATGTTTTACTTACAGCTTTTTGACCAAAGGATTTGAGGAAACCAACAACAAACCACATTTTGGCATATGAAATTGAAAATAGAAATTTCACTTTGGAGTATAATCAAAATTTCAACTTGAATTCAAACCAAAAGAAAAACAAAAAAAAATAAAAACAAAAAGAATACAAAAGCAAAAATGCATTAAAATTAAACGAAAAAGAAAATTCAACTAATATATAATAATTAATAATTTTATTTAACATATAACAAATAACGCGATAATGTTTAATTAATTTGTAAGCCAAAACCAACAAACAAACAAACGGAAGACAAAGATTTTTAAATATTAAGCCTAACAAAATAAGTAATATTATATTGCATAACGGGATATAAATCATTTTCAATAAAAACTGCAACTATTTTTTATAAACTTAAACATATTAACAACAATAACAACAGCAAAAAGCAAAAAGCAACAACAAGCAAATCAAATTTTAATGCAAAAACCAGAGTACAAAAAATTCATAACGCATCAATTTACAAAATCAAATACAAAATATCACAAAATATCAACAAGCTAAATATTCAAAATATATACATATATATATATATACAGATATAGTATATATCTATAAGGAAGTAAACAAACAACGCATACAAAATACAAATTTACAAATTACAAATTTACAAATTTTTCTAAAAAACAAAAACAAGTCGAAGTCTGAGACATAGCACAGCAAAACAAATAAAGAATATTGCAAATTAATGTTAAGCAACCAATAAACATATATTGCAAATATAATAAAGAAATCAATTTTATCAAAACAAGAATTCATAGCTGCCGTTTACAAACAACAAGAGAAAGCATCTTCAACCACGAATAAAGTACAAAAATTTTTGAATTTTCAACTTACAAATTAAAAAACAAAAAAGCAAACAATTTAATAGTAGCACTTTTACAAAAACAACAAAAGCAAACGATAAATATAAACAATAACAAATAAACAAACAAATATTTATATAAAACTCATAAAACAAATATTAAGCCTAAGCAACAACAAGTATCAAATATTGTTACAATACAAATTTACATACAAGTTAATAAGCACAAAACACGCAAAACCAGTGAGTTCAAAATACAAATTACAAATTACAAATTACAAATTACAAATTGCGAATACTGCAAAGTTCTGCAACAAAAACAAACGAAGAAAAACTACCTCAAGAGCAGTGAGCGTGTACAAAAACAAACAAAAAATCAACAACCAAATTTTTGAACTAGCAATTTGCTTGTGTTTTTCAAGACAGTGTACAAAATAAATAAAAAAAAAACAATATTGCAACTCTTCAAGCAGCCCAATCAAACAACACACGATCCACACCCCCAACACCCCCAACTCCCCCAGGCAGCGCAGTAGCTTTTAAGCTGCGCAGCCATGCTAGTGTCCGGACTTAAATGGCGTCCACAATAATCACAGCACAGAGCAGCACAGGCGGCCCCGTCGATCCAGCATCGACAGCTAGCAGCGCCAGCAGCAATCCATTGCCAGCAATCACAGCAACAGTTGCCTCCGCTACGGCCGAGCTGCACAATACGCATCTCAATCAGTTGAGCAGTCTCAGTCAGCATTATACGACGCCCTATCACCATCATCATCACTATCAGCAACAGCAACAGCAACTGCAACAGCAGCAGCAGCAACAACTGCAGCAGCAACAGCACCAACATCAGCATCTGCAGCATCAGCAACACTATCAGCAGCAGCAACAACAGCAGCCGTTAACGGAGCCACAACAGTCTCAACACTGGGACTACTATGCACGTCAGCAACCAGTGGCGCCCGCCAACAACAACAACAACAACAACAGCAACAGCAACAACGGCAGCAGCAATACAAACAGCAACAGCAACGTTAACGGCAGCAATAGTAGCGACAACAATAATACAAATGTTGCCACACCTTTGGGCAGCAACAGCAGCAATGCTAATGGCCCTCCTACTGCTGCCAGTGGCCATGCCCACAGTGGCCACGCCCACAGCAATCATCACGTCCATGATACAACAAATGCCGTTGCTGCTGCCGCCGCCGCCGCCGCCGCTGCAGTCACAGTAGGCACCAACGGCAACGGTTCCAACCCCAATTCGAATTCAAACTCCAACGGCAGCTATACACGTCCCTGGGAAATGGAATCCAAGGATAGCGTGCCGCAACAACAACAACACCAACAGCAGCCACAGCAACCGCAGCAGCAACAGCAGCAGCAACAGCAAATTCAGCATCAGCCACACCAGCCGAAGAGCGGCTTTGAGCCCTTCTCAAAGCTGCCCTCATTCCAGAGTCAATTTCACGGCTACAACGATCAATTGCTGCCCGATGGAACACCGATGCCAATGCCAATACCAGCTGCAGCCGCAGCAGCAGCAGCAGCCGCAGCAGCAGCAGCAGCCGCCGCCGCCGCTGCTGCTGGCGCCGGAGCTGGGGCACTGCAAACGGTGGCCATGTCTCCGGCCAGCATCTCAGTCAGTTCGCCGGGCATGATGAGCGTCGGTTCACCGTTGACCCAGTTGCCGGGCATGCAGACGAGCATAACACCGCCATCGGGCAGTTTTACACCGTTGGGTGCACCACCGCCGCCACCGAATGCATTTCATCACATGCACTCGCATCATCGTGGTGCCGCAGCAGCAGCAGCAGCTGCTGCTGGCTATCCTCTGATGCCGGCCGCGACTGCTGCATTTGGTGATCTGCAATTGTATCCGGGCTTTGGGCCTGCATTGGGTAGCAAAAAGGAGGCAGCAGCGGCGGACTATGACTTGCTGACGGGCAGCATGCTGCTCAAGAAGGATGACTTTGATCTCAGTAGCAACAGCAACAGCAACAGCACACATCTGCAGCAGCATCAACAACAACAGCAGTTGCAGCAGCAGCAGCAGCAGTTGCATGCTGGCCTGGGCGTGGCAGTTGGCATGCATACGCCAACATCGTACGATGGCAATAACAGCAACAGTTTTCCACATGCTGCCAGCAGCAGTGGCAGCCATACGCCGCACACAACCCAACCGCTGACGCCGACGCCAACGACAACAACAACAGCAACGACGACACCATTGAAGGCGGAGAAGCTGTTGCAGTCGCCGATAGCGCGGCTGGATGCACGCAAGAAGGAGCGACGGAAACAGCGGCCCAATTCGCTAGAGTCCAGTGCCGAGAGTGAGGCCAGCGGCATGGACGTGGATCCCAGTGGCGGCAATCCCGGACAGGTGGATGCCGTTTCCAGCACGGCCAACTTTAAGAGTCCGCTCAGCGCACTCATGGGCGATAGCAACGATGCAACGAATGCCAATGGATGCGATAAGCAGGTAAGTCATAGATTAACGGGCGTTCCCGGCGATAACTGGCAAACGCTGCGAATAATAGGAACACCTACCATCCATACCATACCACCAATACGAACTCGAACACCAACCCAACCAACATATCAACCAACATCAACACCAACACCAACACCACCACCACCAACACCACCATCACCATCACTCCACCAACAACAAATCCTTCTCTGCTTCCGCCTCTGTTTTGCAGTCGAAAAAGAAGCGCAAACGCTGCGGCGAATGCGTTGGATGCCAGCGCAAGGATAACTGCGGCGAATGTGCCCCATGCCGCAACGACAAGAGCCATCAGATCTGCAAGCAGCGTCGCTGCGAGAAGCTCACCGAGAAAAAGGTAAGTGCAAAACATACACAGATAAGCATACATACATATTTACATGTATGTATTCAACCAGTCAGCGAGTCAGCGAAATCCATTGGGCCATTCCAGTTGGTCATTTGGCCATTCAGCTTATGAGGCAATTCCCAGGCTCCGATTGTGGCCTACGGACAGGGACTGGCTTACGAGCCGCGTTTCTCATTCATTCAAAAAAGTTACTCAATGAAATCGGCGCACACTTGTGCATCTGCTCAATGGCAACAACAAGCATAAGCAACGGTGATGCTGACGCTGATGCTGATGCTGCCTGGCCAATGCACAGTGGTTCAAATTTATCGAAATGTCACTGAAAATCACATTTTTAAAATAGTAAAATGATAAATTGCAAGAGCTTTCCATAAGATGCTTAGGCTTATAAAAGTTATTATGGTAGCTGAAAATAAAACTGATTTCTTTAGCAGAGGAAGCAACTCGTATCGATGATTAATCCTGCTGAGGAGTTTAAATTACTTCACTTATTGTATCTAAAGAAAATATGGGTTAGGATGGTATGGCGTTAGCCAATTTAAGGAAAATATGGATTAGGAAAGATATGGAGATAGCAAAAGCTTGCACACAAATATATTATTTTCATATCTATTTTTTTTCAAAACAAAAAAGCTGAAAATTCGAATAGTATATTAAGAGTCGGAGCCAATTTCATTAATGTGTATTTCATATTTAGTTTAACAATTCCAGCAAATTTGATTACGAAGCGAGCTTATTAAGCAAACTATGATTTATATATGAAAGGACTTTTCTTTAAGGAAACTTGCTTAGTTGCTGTACCACTGTAGATGAGTCCAAGTCGTTTGGGAGTGCAAACTGGTTTTGGTGCTTTTTGCCGCTCGCGGCCAAGACAAGAGTTCGCGCGGTCTTGCGCTCCAGCGGTCAGTCACTCAAGATTTATGTCAGCACAACAGATGTTCCATAGTCGCAGCGAGTGCAAATTAATGCGCCCATCCATTCTCTCTCTTCCTCTCTGTCTCTCTTTCTCTCTGTCCGGCGTCCAAATGCATATAAGCAGCCGCGCTCTGTGCCTGGCCACACATTTAACTAGTAACCTACAAGTTCTCAGTGTGTGTGTGTGTGTGTGTGTGACTAAGTACTTGCATGCAGGCACTTGAGTGCATCTGAAGCAATCGGGTATCCTTAAGCTCACCAGGCTTCCCAGGCTCTAGCAGAAGAAGATGTCTGCGTTTCATTCATTTTCCATTCAGTTTACATTGCGTTTCGAAATCACTTAAGAGCCCAGCCGCAGGCTGCGCATATCCTTTGAGGAAATCAGGTTACACACGCAAACATTCAAGCAAATCTGCGCCGAGGCCAGTTCGATTTTTGGATCTTAAGTGGTTGTTGCTTATGCTGCTTGACAAGTTCATTGGCCGCGCAGACAGGGCAAAGGAGTGTGCAAAGGACTCTGCAAGTTTTTTTTAGACTAACTCTAACTCATAAATTAGATGTTAGATCAATTTTTCTGCAGGTATTTTGCTAACAGAAATTTGACATGAATTTATTATGGGAATTCTGCACATTATATTGCAAAAGGCAAGTAAAAAGCAAAGGAAAACAATAGTTCTTAGCCAAAATCCAAATTAAGGTCATGTCCGCAAACGAAACGCTTCCATTTGGACGCGCTTCGTTCGCTTCAAATGCAAACGTAAAAGTGGAAGCAAAAAAAAAAAAAAAAACAAAAAAAATACAAAAAGACAACAAGTAAGAATAACAACAACAAGAACAGCAACAACAACAACAACAACAGCAAGCAACAGCAATGCCAATATGCCGTATGAAATAAAACAACAATAAAAACGATAATAACGAAACGAGGCAGCAGCAGCAACAACAAAAGAAAAGCAAACGTCGTTCGCAGCCGCTGCCGCCTGCAGGAGCAGATGTTCACAGCTTACACACACACACACACACACACACAGACAGTCAGACAGAGCGACAGACATAAATAAATAAGCGACTGCGAGCAACGTTTTGTCTCGCTGCCACGATCAACGTCGGCAGCGACGCTCGCAGCGGCTGCAAACAGGAAACCGAAAAAAATAACCAAACGAAACGAAACGAAACGAAACGAGCACATTGAAGCAGAGCGCGCAGGCGTGCGCGAGTGCGAGAGCGAGACAGCTGTTCAGATAGTTGTGTGAGAGGGAGAGAGCGGAGACAGCGCGCACGACTGGTCACACAATTAAGAAGGAGGTTGACAGGAGAAGAACGCTGACGGTGACGGCGACGGCGACGGCGACTGCGACTGAGACTCTGAGACTGCGCCAAGCGTCACAAAAGGTTGTCAAACAAGAAAATGGCACGCAAAGAGAGGCAGATCGGTCCGCTGTCCGCTGTTCGCTGTTCGCTTTCCCTGCTGCCCCCCAACGACGACACACATAGATAAAGTTGTAAATTTTGCAGTCGCCGCGACATCAGTTGACATGTCAATACACACAGATACACACACACACACACACACACACACACACACACACACACTGGCACATGCATTCATAAGTTGTAGAAACGATGCATGTTGGTTGGCAGCTCTTCCTTCCGCGCTTGCGACACACAATTGGCGCTTTATTTTATATCTTCCTCTGCTTTATTATCAGCAACATCATCATCAACATTATTATTATTTCTGCTGCTGTCCAACACACACACACACACACACACACACACTGCTACACTACATGTGCCATTTGTTTGGCGGCTACTGCAATAAACAATACGCAAGACACTGGACAACAAACATTTCAATAATTGTTTATATTATTGCATATAAGCCAACCGTCAGTTTAGTCTGTCAATCAGATATTCTCTATATTCTCAGATTGTGTTGAGATTTTATAACATTTATTGATTTATTGTGTCTTAAACTCCAATTATGTTTGATAGTGTAAACTCTCTCGTTTTCAATTTATTATCTCACAGTGTGTTAATACATACAAAATAATATGAATGTCGTCTTGTTTCTGTGGCTTTCGCGGAAGTTCTGCTCTCAGCGTGTCTGGCCACAGCTGGTTTGGTTGCTTGCCAATATATTTGGCACATTGTTGTGATTACATATCGATTGTTGTTGGTTTGTTGGTTGTCGGTTGTCGGTTGTCGGTTGCCGCCGCACGAATCGAATGCGGATCAATGCACTTGTGACTTATTTCTGTGGTATTTATGCAGCTCTTGTAATTCAATATTCAATGCGCCTCTGCTTTGCTGCTGTCAGTTTTCAGTTTTTCAGTTTTGGGTTTTGGGTTTTGGTTTCGTTCTCGTTTTCGTTTTCGTTTTCTGGCCGACCGGGCAGCTGGTCACACTCCAATTGGACCCTGCTCCTTGTCTGGTTTTTACTTTCACAAATCAGGCACGAAAATAAAAAATAAAAAAAATATATATAAATAAAATGCCTCAAGCACAAGTCATTAACTTGGCTATTTGAATAGCGACGTCGCTCGCGTGTCCCGGCTCAAAGCTGAGGCTGCTGCTTCCTGTCGCAGTTCCCTTCTGGCCAGCCTCCTTTGCTTGGCCTTAAATATGCAGTTTTCTTAGGAATTTTCTCATTAAAACGTTTCGTTTTTTTTTCTCCATTTCGCAATTTTATTTTCCTTCATTTTTTTCCTTTTTTTTGCGTTCGTTGTCAAACGACTGGCAAATAAGGCAAATCAACAACAAAAGAGGAAGAGCAAATATTAAAAGGCGTCTGGTCTAAAGTAAAGTCACCAAGAGCCATTCCCTCCCACAGCCAACCAACTCCTCCAACACCCGCCCACCCAAAGGAAGGGCAACCATAGTGGAGAGCTTTGAGTTTGAGTGATTGACTTAATTTTTGCAGGGCTGCAGGGATAAATTCGTATTCGTATTGTCCTTTCCTGTTTGTCACTCCTCGAAGACTCTTTCATTTCACTTTTGTGGCCGCCGGGGTGAACGCTGCCCGTTGGCAACTTCATCAAACTAAATGCACTCGAACTAAACTAACCCTAACTCTAAGCCAGCCATGACAACTTAAAGGTTTCACTTCATGCATACCAAATGTGTGCTGCTTACAAAGTGCATGCGAGCCATGAAAGTATCTCCACAACGTGTGCTGTGAGTGCAATGCTCGCTCCTACTTGAGCACACACACACACACACACACACACACATACGTACACACACATACACACCGTTCGTGACACACTCCCATGCTCTAGAGCACTCATACTCGTCCTCGTCTTCGTCTTCGTCCTCGTCGTCGTCGTCGTCCTCAATGCGGCCTCAGGCCTCCTGGCACACATCCTTGCACACACATTCGCATTTTGGCACGTTGGCTTATAGCCAGCTCCTGGAAAACAGGATAACACACACAAAGTAAGAGCGAGAGGAGAGAGGAGAGACTGGCATACTTGATACTTGAGCAAATGTTGTTGTTGATGATGAGCTTCAGCTTTGGGCTTCATTATCATCGAAGTTTGTGGGTGTGTGTGTGTATACCTTTTGTGTTGTGCAATCTGATATCATGTCGTGGTCTTTCCGTGCTCCTTGCATATCCAGTTGCAGCAACATTGCCCCCCGCCCCTCCCCCACTCTCTCCCTCTGTGGTGCAACGCAGTTTAATTTTATTTTGCCAATTTTTTCACAGTTTTCAGCAATTTTTCCAACAATAATTGACGCTTTTGGCCAGGTGCTAACCGAGGCACGCTCTTCACTGCCGCAATATTGTTTCAATCACTCAATTTGTTGCTGCAACACGCACAGCTGCACACACATACATAAGTCCCGCTCCTCGGGACAGAGAGAGAGTTCATTGCACCAAATGGAAAAGACAAACTCTTGAGTCGCTGCGTCCAGTTGCAGGCTCTCTTTCTCTGTGTGTGTGTGTGTGTGTGCCACAAATCCGATTGAATTTTTGTTTTATTCCCTTTGCGCTCTGCTCCAAATGCATATTCATCTGTCGAATACACACACACACACACACACTCATAGATCGAGGCAACCATCTGCATTTGTTTCTCGCTTGTCTGCACATCTGCTCGCATTGTTCCTTTTATTTTTCCTGTTTTCTTTTCCTGAGCCTCAGCGCTGAGCTGACGTCCTGCTCTAGGATTTAAACCAAACGTGCCGCATATCTGCTGCACTTACTTTACTCCATGCTTTCTATGACATATCTATATATATATATATATATATATGATATATGCATAGTAATATTTGATGCACGCATACTTAAAAGTAAATATTTTCTACATATGTACAAAAATACAACTATAGAAAATATATATAGACAAAACCATTTGTTTGCTTTTTGAGCGGACTTGGCAACTTTTAAGCAGCTTATGCAACAACTGCAGCAACACCCGAGTTTAACATTATTATTATTTTTTGCAAATCTGTGGCTCTTTCTGTTTGCTATTAAATTGAAACTTTAAAACATAAGTGACCAGATTTGCATATATGTATATCATGTGCTTTATTCTCAACTGTTTCCACGATTTTATCATTTTAATGGGCGTGTTTTTTGCTGTTGTTGTTAATGCACATTGCCATGACATCCAATTAGTGGATTTTGTCTTTGATGCCCCACTGCTCCCTTTTTACATTTTATGTTATATTTATATTAAATGAAAATTAGTGTAAATACAATTTAAATATTGTTTATTTTGTATGTGGTTTTCTATCATAATTAAGCTGCTTATTTAATTACAATCAATTTTATTTGTATGCATCTTTTTAATTTATACCTTTCTCTGTTTTTTTTTTTGCAGGAACCCAAAGCCAAGCCCGTATGTATACACATTTTTTATTGAATATCACCATATATTTACTGATCAGAGTTCTGTCCAATTTGCTTATCAGATTTGTAAATGAATAACTGTTAAAATCAACATTAGATAACACAAATATGCTCGAGATAAGAAAGTCGTTTATCAAATTCCAAGAATTTCTTGCAAGTTTTATATATATTATATACCAAAGTGGGAACTTTAAGTGTATTATCAATCATTTATGACTTATAAGCAGATGTTTCTATATAAAGAAAAGTCTGAAGCTTAAAAATATATAATTTTCAATTCAAGAATACGAACTGCTTATGAGCCAAAGGTTTTGTCATATTAGCGAGTAATTTGACCTTGAGAACCGTGTCTGAGGCGTGCGCTTCGTGTTCAAATGGACCCCTATGGAATATTATGCAAATAACACTTTTAGTTTTCCATTGTTTTCAGCAAATGTGTGTATCTGTATCTATGTATCTGTTGGATATTTTGTGTCTATGTATGTGTGCTTGTCCATTCACATTGTGTGGCAGTTTCTCTTCATTTTTTTTATCAGGCGCATAAATTAAATAATAAAACGATTATGTGTGTGTTGGTGCAATTCTATGCTTGAGTGTGTGTGTGTGCGTGTGTGTGTTGTCTGTCTGTCTGTGCAATTGAATGCTTTTAGGTTCTTGCTCTTGTTGTTGTTGTTGTTGTTGTCATTGTAGTTGTTTTTGTATTCATGAAAATGATTTGGTGATGTTGCCGCGACGGCTGCTTATGTGCATGATGGTTGTTGATGGGTTGTGATGCTGCTGTTGCTGTTGCTGCTCTTGCTGCTCTTGCTGCTCTTGCTGCTCTTGCTGCTGCTGGTGGTTGTTGATGACAATAATTCATTGCGCTAGTCGAAACTGTATATACACACGCACACTGTCACATTTATATAAATCTGCGCTGATTATAATGCGTTGTTAAATTTTAATAAATAAATTTTCACATCCTTGTTAAGCGCACATTGAGTGCGACAACAACAGCAGCAGTCTACATCAAAGCGAATAAAAGCTTTGCATTGATTAAAAGCCAACAGCACACTAAATGCAAATGAATGTTACATAATTACTACGCGCCATAAAGACAACGTTGCGTATACTTAATGACGACTTTGCTCGTGCAAACCACAACAAGCGCCAAGGCTAAGTCCAATGTCCAAGACTCTGCGCGCGTATCCTTGCAACTAAGTTAAAGGACAAAAGTGCCGCATTGTCTACACATACACACACACACACACACACATGCACACACACAAGGTGAAACACGCACACAGCACACACATTAACGAGCTGAAAATGCGCCACTGCATTTTCACTTGGCGTAAAAAATTGCAGTGCAAATGATTTTTGCATTTGCTCATTTTAATGACACAAACTGGAAAGAAAGCAAAGGACAGCGAATTAGTGAGAGGGAAAGTGGAAGTGCCGTTAATGAGGAGACAGTACAGGAGGAGAAGGGAGATGGGAGTTTTAGGGAGCAATGCTGAAAATGAGGTTAACAAGCAGCAGCTTGTCATACATATATATATTTATATATATATGTATATATGCAATTAAGCGTGCTTGTTATTATTTATTAATAAACAACAACACACAACAATGGCCAAAAAATAAACAACAAACGCTAATTGCCACAGCAACCGAGCAAGCGAAAGACAGAGACAGAGGCAGAGATAGAGACAGAGATAGACAGATAGATAGAGAACTGACACGCAAATGAGCGAAAATATTATTTCAGTTTGCGACCATGCGTTGCATTTCAAGGATACAGGATAAACACACACACACACACACACACATACACACACACACACACACTCATACACACGCTCGCACACGTTAGCACTTTTAACCCTTTATTTTCTTGCATTTCTATTTTTGAAGTGCATTTCGCCCTGTAAGCGGCGTTTTTTTACTGCCCGTTGGCTCAATTTAAATACCAACGATGCATGGCCAAAACGAACAGGGAAAAACTGGTATAAATACCCTGCAGTTGAAAAAGACACTAAGTAATGCATATCTATTTCAAAAGTTGAAAGAGTTGAAACTTAACCATATCAAAACAGCACTTTCCATAAAAATATATAAAGCATTAAGCATACCAATTGCAAATAAATTCTAGTTTTTCCTTTTGGAAAATGGGCTTTGGAATATGGGCATTTACCAGGTCGCATAGTCTCAATTACATCATTTGTACTTGTTGGCTTTCCACACGCGTGTGTGTGTGTGTGTTTGTGTGCAGCAAGGTGCAATTGCAGCGTATTTTTCAGCTTGACCGATTCGTGGTTGAGAGTGCGACCCTTCGGTCTCTAGCAATGCGGCAACAGAACTCGCACCCCAGCAGCAAAAGCGGCAGCAGCAGCAGCAGCAGCAGTGAAAATGAAACGAAGCGTTTGTCAGCGTTAAACAGCAGAAAAGGGGTTGAATACTACAGTGCACTGCATGTATAAATTATGGGTGTTTTTCTGTTAGTTTAGAGGGTCAGCAGGTTACAGGTAACACAGGTTACAATTACACCAGGCGCCTAATTGCAGCCAAAAACTAAATACCTATTCCCCCCTTCAACTACCCCCCACACTCCACAAACACTTGTACAATTTTTCAACTGCCTCTATTTGTTGCAAAGCGGCTTTAGCATCAAGTCAGCAATACCAGACAACGAAGAGACACAAGCTTACAATATCAATTTGCAACCAAATGGAGTGATTTAGTCGAGGGTTAGACAGAGAAAGAGAGAAAGTGAAAGCGAAAGTTTGACTAGGAGATTACCATGTCAAAAGGTTATTTTAGGGTCTGGTCAAAGATTTGCAGAGTCATAACTTTGTCAAAAGTGACACGATTTTCAAGAACCAGTGTTCTCTAATTATGGATCGATCCCTGGAATAATACTGAATTCAAAGTTGAAAACGCGATTCCGGATCGACATCCATGTTATATACTCACTAAAATGATATACCCTATGTCTGTAGGGCCATAAATGTGTCAAAAGTGATCCGATTTAGAAAACCCTGAGCTACTTAATCATTTTTTGTCCTGTTTATTATATAAAGTCTGAGTTCGGCACCTTCTAAATGGACAAGATGACTAGATGGACGCAACTGTAGCTGATGATCATGAATATATATACCATATGAGGTAGGAGTAGACTGTCTTCTGTTCTTTATATATACCATTTTAGAACTTCATTATACCCAATATAAAAATGAAAGTGAACAAAAAATGACCGAATATAAGAAGGACAAGTAAAAGTTTGCTCACAAAGTGCCTATCAAGCGGTAACAACAACAACTTGCTATATCTTTTGATTGCATTTTGACAACAACAAAAACATCAGCAGCAGCAACAATAAAAACAACAAAACTCTGGCATATTGTTACAAAAACAAAGCCGCACTTTGAAATCGATTTTTGATTATATTTTTTTGTGTTATCATTGCGTTCGCTACATTGTTACGTTGTTGCTTAAATACCCTGTAGCTGCCTTCTGGAGTGAAGATTGCCAGACTTAAGAAATGTGGAAACGTTTTAACCTTGAGCACACCAAAGGCAAACATATGAAATTAGACTATCTCAAGCCTAGTTGCTTTCACTACCCTATAATTTGTTATTAGATTAATATTGAATGAAATTTACAGCACCATGAAATCCCCTCTATTTCTTATATAGTTGGTCCTCTGATATATAGTCTCCCTCTAAGCTAATTTTCTGTTCCAAATGCGTTGACTAAGGCTTGTGAAGGGTATCCCAAGTTCGAGCATTTGCTTAGATCTTTTTGCTGATGCTGTGAGCTCTCGTACCGCAGTAAATTCAATTTAATTTTCTTAAATATTATTTGAGACAATTTCGCATGCATTACGCGTTCAGTTTGGAATACAATTTTTGTATTTCCTGCAAGTATATTTTATCATGTTTACTTTCAATAACTTGACGGGGACAGGAGAGAAGTGGAGCACATTGGCTGTTACTCACGCCAAATTCGATTCCGCGCATGAACCTGACAACAAACAAACAACGGCGACGACACAAAAAAAAAAAAAAAAAATAAGAAAATTCTTGTTGCTTTCCCTATTTATTTTATTTATAGCTGAGAGCCTTTTTTTGCATTTTCCGGCTTTTGTTTGTCGGCGTAAATTGAAAACATAATTGAAACAATAAATTCGATGCTCTCGATGGCGCTGCGAATGGAATAAAAATCTTCGACAGCGAAAGAGTTGCGGGCCATATTTCCGTGGGTTCCAATCAGCGCTCTAAAGTGTTTGGAAAAGTAGGAAATTAGCTCGCCGTACTTTTCCAATACATTTGACGCTACTACCAACTTTTCGATGAAAGCAACAGCAACAGCACCAACAACAACAACAACAAAATCAATTTAATTTTGTCGATTTTTTTTCTCTGTTCTCGTATATTTTTTTGGTGTTTTGACTTGAGTCCAACTAAAAGTTGTGCCCGGATCCTGTTTGGTCCTTGGCTGCTTGGGTGCCGGGCAACACAGTCAAACAAGTCAAGTCATTTACTAAAGTACGAAAGTCCTGGCGTGTATAAACATCCCTTAACTGGCTCTTGGCTGCTGTTGTTGTTGTTGCTGCTGCTGCTGCTGCTGCTGCCGGTGCTGCTGCGTGAGGGTGGTTTAGAGCAAAGAGCACGGGCATAAAAACGAAGAAAGCAGCACAGCAAAAAAGGAAAAATTATAAAGAAATGTTTTCAAAAAGGCAGCAGGAAACCAACGACAGCAACAGCAACAACAACCTGGACATAAAACGCGCTAAAAAATTTCACATCACGTAGCAAACGCTATTTACTTTTTTTGTTTATTGTTGTTGTTGCTGTTGCTGTTGCTGTTGTTGCTGCTGTCCCAAATGCGGTGTTATATAAAAATGCTGCAGTAGAGCAACCATGAGCAGCAGCAGCAGCAGCAGCATCAACAGCAACAGCAGCAGCAGAACTTTCCACTTAGCACGCACCAAATAACACTCTCCAA